GTCATGACTTGTCACAAAGGGTCACCCTTCTACACTCTGTCCATTCCCATCCCACGGTGACCATGGTGTGCTGTGTCACAAAGAGCCCTAGGACACACCTCCACATGCCCTGGGGTCACACCCACCCCACCCAAACTGCCCCAGATTTCGAGGAAGACATTCCCCCAAGTGTTGAACAAAGCCAGATAGGGACAATAAACAAGCAGATGCTCCTCTGCTCTGCCTGCCCAGGGCAGCAGAAGGAGCCTCCATGGGGCTGTAGCGGGAAGGGCACCAGGGCCTTCCACAGAAGCCACCACAGCCTCTTTGGGACACGTCCCATTGGTGGGTGGCTGTCATATATGCAGGGGTGTGACACAGACTCGGGATGTGTGGCCCAGGGCACAAATGCTGCTCAGACCCCTGGGGAGTACTGAAATCAACAGGGGGGGCAGAGTCCCTGCCACTTTCCCAAGCCTTGCCAATGCTGATGCCCATGTCCTACCACAGAGACCTTTGCCCCAGGGGACTCCTGTGCCCAAGGGCAGCTAAAGCAAACACACATTGGTGTCTGTGCTTCTTTCTGCAGGCGGCTGTTTATTGCATATATTGCATGTATATTCTTACAAAAAAAAGGCCTTATAAAACCATGGCTCAGGCTTGCTGCTTCAGCTAGGTGCAGCTAACAGCTAGCCTAACAAGTTCCTATGAGAAAGGAATTGCACCTGTGAAAATAGAGGACCCATAATCATATGAAGCATCTTCCCAGGAGACAAGAATGTAAACATCTCTTAGAGAAGAAAGTTGACTTTCACAGGACAATTAGATTCTTAGAGAGATAAACTGTCAAATTTCCTTGTGTTCTTCTGAATGTTTTTCTTGCTTTATGGAAGAAAACATCAGCCCAGCATCTGGTGCCCAATGCTCCAGTTGCTGCCTGGCTGGCTGTGGCCAGAAGCTCATGTCCACACACAAATGGGCGCCTGCTGGGCAAGGGAATGGACAGGTGTGAGCAGTGATTTTCCCTGCTGAACCTGGGAGGAACCTAGGGAAGTGTAGAAGATAGGGATAACTCTGGGATGAGAGAACCTGCTGTGTTCCATGCCCTAAAGCAGATATTCTTCCTTATTGCTTCCCTGCACAGGGGTGATTCCTTATTCTGGTATTACTAAGTCTAAAGCTTTTTGTCAAGTTATGCTCACGTCATGTTAAACCTGACAGGCTGAGTTGAGACAGCCTGAGTTGAATCTTCTTAAATAAATAAATTTCTCTGTCTTGCTTATCTACATGAGTGTAAGCAGCAGGATGAGGGAAGTGATTGTTCCCGATTAGTGAGCTGCTTCTTTGATTGTATTTTTCTGGGGCTAAATGCATTAGAGGAGGCAGAGGCTCCCAGCATGGTTTGGTAGATACAGTGCTCATACTTCTGGGGACAAGCAACCCAAGCCATGTGACATGAGGCTGCTGTGCTAGAGTGGGACACACACTAGCAGACAGAAAGGAGAACACGGTGAAGTTCCTCTTGCATCTTGCTTAGCAATTTATTATCTCATCTGATATCCAGCTCTGACAATGACCTGTGAATGCCCCACAGCACCATGGCCTGTACTGGGGGAAGGTTGGAGCCCTGGGGCCATGGTGCCAACCACCTCACAGCTTTCTGCTTCAGCTGCCCCTTTTCCAAGGGCTGGTAGTGACTGCACCTGCAGAAACTAGGTGCCACCAGCTGGGGGAGGACAGGTGTCCTTCCCCTCCCAGCATGGGCTCCAGAGCAGAGCAAGCAATTCAAAGGCCATCACTGGCACCCACAGTACAGAGGTCAGCTCAGCAGGGATTGTGCAGTGCCTCCCCCCACCCCCAATGGTGGGCACAGGGGAGACCCCAAATCCCACACTATTGGTATAGACAGACAGCCTGTGACAATAAAGGCAGCCTTGCAACCTAGGAGAGTGTCCAGATGTCAAATACAGCACAGTTCGGC